ATTCCCCAATCGAGGACACCAGGTATTGGTGGCGGTCGAAGAAGGTCTCGAATCTTCATCAAATCGTTTGAAGATGGATCGCCTGACTTGTCGTCTGGCGGAGTGGAAGAACCTGATGCCTCGGCTGGGGTGGCAGATGACGATGGGGGTTCTGTATCCTCGACTAACCTCGAGCGGGGATGAGGCTTGGTGTGAACCGGGCGACGAATGATAATTTGAGATTTGGAGTTGACAGCAAGCCGTCGAGCTCGAAGTTTGCATGTAAGTTACTTTGGGTGGCGCTGGCAAGGACAATCTCGACCTACCTTCTGTAGAGGCATCATGGCCAGACTTTAGCGAGGAGTCCTGACGCAAATGGGGGGAACAGCCAGCCAAAGGGATACGGCGAAGACAAGGCCAGAAATGATGACTCTCACATTGTCTCCGTCAGGCCTTTCGGAATCACTTTGCGAATCGTCACCGTCGTATGAGACAAGACCTGCAGAGGGTGAGATGATTTTCGGGTTGTGTAAGAATGAGAAATTTACCGTGGATAGTTTGACTTTTCATTGAAGTTCACGTTCACGTCGAGGGTAACCAGCGCGCGCTTTGTTGACCGCAGCTCTTTCCTCTCCCTCGCTCACACGTGACAAGCAAACCGACCGCTCTCTCATTGTCATGTCCTCAATGCAAGCCTATTTGGCAGAAAAGTACATGGCTGGTCCAAAAGCTGATGCCATACTATCCCGCACCACCACTAAAAAGAAAAAAAAGCGCAAACCTGATCCTGGTCCCACCGGCGGACCCTCGACGATCATGGATGACGATGCAGGCTGGGGTGGCGCAGCAGATGTCATGGACATTGAGGAAGACGACGCGACCGAGGCAGTCGTCGCATCGGATCGCGCATTCAAGAAGCGTCGCACGGAGCTCGGCGAGGGAGGTTCCGGTTGGGCCACCTTGCGGGAACCTACACCTCCGCCTCCCGCAGACGAGCAACCTGTTGTGGTTGAAACCGAGCCCTTCCGTGGTGGTTTGCTCACGAAGAAGCAGCTACGCACGCAGCTCCCTTCTTCTCATCGCCCATCGAACGAGGAAGAGGACTCCGAGGCCATGGCTGCAGCACAGGAGACTGTGTACCGCGATGCCTCGGGCAGGAAGATTGACATGAAACTGGAGAGGGCTGAGGCGGCACGCAAGAAGCGTGAACGTGAGGAGCGGGAGGCTCAGAAGATGGTGTGGGGTAAAGGCCTTGTACAGCGAGAAGAAGCGGAGAAGCGAAAACAGGAAGAGGACCGCATACGGCAACGTGGTTTTACGAGGTATGCAGATGACGAAGAACTGAATCGCTCGCAGAAGGATAAAGAGCGTTGGAACGACCCCGCTGCTGCGTTTGTGACGGTGCGTTTCTTCCCAAATCTTTCGCGTTATCCTGTTTCCGTTAATCCTTCTGATGACCTGCAGAAAACGAGGACAAAAGGCCCTCGGAAACCCGAGTACACGGGTCCCGCACCTCCCCCCAACCGGTTTGGCATCAAGCCTGGGTATAGGTGGGACGGTGTCGGTGAGTCTGAAGCTACTTGTTGCATTTCTACACAATGGCTAAATACGTATTGCAGATAGAGGAAATGGATTTGAGAAAAAGTTCTTTCAAAAGCAGAACGAACGCAGACGGACTGGAGCGCAAAGCCATGTCTGGAGTGTCGAGGACATGTAGATTTGATGTGAAACCGTGCGTGTCCTCACGTTGTTTCGGTGTCAGTCAACCATATGCAACAATTAACACCAGAATTTTCATTAATTCACCACCTCAAACAGAACCATTGCTTGGAGTGTTACCTCCGCCAGGTGGTTTAAATCGTCATCCAGTCGAGGGACATGGGTCATGTTAGGACACGGCCGACGCACTGTAATGAAGATTGTGGCCATCGCCACCAACCACCAAAGGGAATGCAGCTTGGGAAATAGCAGGTGGGCGTGTAGGGCTGCTAGTCTGATTACGAGTTCCTGCGCATTTACTATTAGTATAGTTAAGACGGTACTAGATGTTAATTGTAATACTGAAGCTCTGTGTTGCGCTCGTACGAGTTCATTATTGGAGTGGTTTGCACCCGTTGGCTGCGTGTGCAATACGAGGCATTATAATTGGTCTTGCTTGGTGGAATAAATGCACATTCTTGTTCGGAATAATCGTTTTATACGTATGACTGAACTTTCTTCGTCGCTACGACAAGCCCATACCCTTATGATGTGGCGCAACATAACATGTACAGTAGGGTTCCGAGACGCACCATTATTGCCATCACAAGGCAAGCACTTATTACCACCAAGTTAGCAGTGTTGTAGGAATTTGCCCAAAACATTTCTACTATTTTACTCTGACATAAAAGAAGACTTTCGTAACTTTTGAGCTTGTATTAATTGGTCCTACCTGAGAAAAGGAAACGGGAAAAAGAATGAAGGTCTGAGATAAGCCACCACAAACAATTGGATTGCAAAGTGCGATGAGACGGGAGGCCAGGGATGTAAAATAAGGGGGGTGTCACTGGCATGTAGGACCTGTAAAAGAGCAGGGTGTTTGCGGGTGTAGCACACCAGCCACTTTTGATGAGATGGTAGGTTCCTCTTACACTTATCACATTTATCCGACTTTTTCAACTTGCATGAGCTGAACAGGTTCATTCAAGTGTAAAAAGGGTAGTGCGGGTTACTGATGCTTTACGAGCCCCAGTGGTTCTGGCCGTCTTGGAAGAAGACTTACATCATCAAACAGCGACATTTGTATTTGGCGCTCATGCCAGTGAACATATCTTCATCCCCACATTACGGTTCATTGTGTAAAGGATTGCTATGCTCCCTTCCGTTGAGATGGTCATTGGCGGTGAGTGAGCTTAGAGTCATCAGAAGCTGCTGTAACACACCTAATATGTTTCCGGATAGCTGGAGTTATCCTGATGTCAAAATGGCAGGTGAGACAACGTTCACATCCACAAATTTAAAGGTCTGCACGAATCATGCTGATCCATGTCAACGTCATTGTTCAGAAGGCTCTCATGATCTCAAAGCATGTTAGAGCGCAGCCGATCGAAGCGCTGAAGAGGCTAGGACATGAGAAGCTGGCATTTGATGAATATGAAAGTGTGTTCACGTATTCTTGCCTGCGCTTGTTGCAAACTTCCCATATTCCCCCAGAACGAATCGCATCCGAGGTAGTCCACCCAGACGATATCGGTGTTAAATTTACAGGTATGTCTTGTAGGCTTGTATGAGCACGTTCCTCACCTCGAGCCCGTACTACGGTAGATATTGGTGGCCTGGAAGATATCATATCTTCATTAAAAGAAACCGTCATCATCCCACTGCTATGTCCCAACCTCTTTCGTTCGTCATCTTCTTTGTTAGCGGCACCCAGTGGTGTGCTTCTTTATGGGCCGCCAGGGTGTGGTAAAACGATGCTCGCCAAAGCCATTGCGAAGGAGTCGGGCGCCACCTTCATCAACATTACGGCATCCGTCTTGACAAGTAAATGGTTTGGCGAATCGAATAAATTAGTTGCCGGTTTGTTCAGCGTAGCGCGGAAGACGCAGCCCAGCATTATCTTCATAGATGAGATTGACTCATTCCTACGAGAGCGTAGCCAGAATGATCACGAAGCAACTGCAATGATGAAAGCAGAATTCATGACGTATGTGTTCTTTTCTACAATGGTACAGGTGTCTCAATTTCACCCAAGTTTTTGGGATGGCCTTCTCTCGGGCTCGGATCGTATAGTAGTACTAGGCGCCACGAACAGGATTCAAGATATTGATTCAGCATTCCTTAGGCGAATGCCAAAACAATTTCCTCTTTCCTTGCCTGATACTGCCCAGCGCGAGAAGATACTTTCATTGGTAAGTTGATTCCCACGTGCTGTCATATCACAGGACTGGTGCTTTTTTCAGCATTGCTCCCATGCATCTCCCCATTGCATGCTCCCATAACTTGTTTACTTGTATGACTAACTAACATTCGTCCCAGATCCTCAAAGATGTCCCTCTTGCTCCTAAATTTCCTATGCGCACTCTGGCCGAGTTTTCTGATGGGAAATCTGGATCAGACTTGAGGGAATTGTGTCGAAATGCGAGCATGATACCTGCCCGTGAGATTATACGCAATGCCCGTGGGGACGTCACACATCTTGCGCGGCGTGGTCGAGAACAGGTATGTCTGCGTTTTTCTGAGCTGGTTCATCTAATTGCGTGTCCTGCCCAGGGCTTTGATCTGCGTCCGCTTACGATCGAGGACTTCTTTGATTCAGACCCTTCGATGCCTATTAGTGATGATGTAAGGAATGCCCACCACTGTGATGCAAACGCTTTATCTTCAGCCTCCCGAGTTCCCTCTTTTACCCCTTCTCACTCGATTGATGTCCAGACCAGTCCAATGCCTCAGACTACCATTTTCGACAAGGTTCTTTCACTAGGCGGTATTGCCGTGTCCCTTCTATTTGCTGCTTTTGCTTATATTGTTTCAAAACTGTTCAATTCGTAGCCTTACTTCTGTGCCCGTCTTTAACGCGTTTGTGTTTGATGGCTGTGTCTTTAAACTGTAATAAAAAACATATACGTAGATGTGTTGCGAACCATCACCCAGTCTCTCCTTTTTGTTCTAGCTCGTTCCAACCTCTTATAGAGTTCTCAAAACTCGTTGATACGTCTCCACCATCGGGGCCCGTTGTTTCGCGTCGGCCATAAGTTTTCTCGTCTACCCACTTAACTCTCAGTCCCCACTCGCTTCCTTTTCCCCCCTTCCCCAAAAATTCACTCATGGATGCCCAGGTCCACCCATACAACATATTCCATGGACTCAGTCCATCTTGCAATGTATTTTTCTGGCTTCTCAACTGGCCCACTGATGAATGTGCCAAGGTGCAAACCTGTCCCCTTTTCCTCAATTCAGAAGCTAGATATGACAGATTGAGGGGGAGTATTGGCTGGCAATTTGTCTATACACTATAGAAGATCCAGGTCCTAGTGAACCAGGACCAGATGGCTCAGTGGTAGAGCATCTGGTATATATCCAGGAGGTCCTGGGTTCAATCCCCAGTTAACTCTCTGTAGCAAATCATATGATGCGATAACTCCATAATGTAACACACATCAGCAAGTCTATATGATAACATCAACATGGGACATACATGTCCGGCTAGTTCTGTCACCACTGCCAGTGGGATATTCAAAGGGGGCTCAGATCGACAGCGATGACTGATTTCACAATCGGCAAGTCGGCTACGGGAAGGACAAAGGTCAAATACCTGGACGATGGTCAAGCGAAATCCCAATTTGCACCCCTCGGTCCTTCGGACTAGACACGACCCACCAACTGTCGTGCGACACTGCGATACAAAGGACGTAGCCCTTGATCATACATATGTTTTACATCATGAATATAACACCAGAAATTGACGAGGCCGTACTCTGCGTCCAAGAAGAGTCTTCGTACACGCAGTTGAGACCTCATCGCTCAGTTGGCTGACAGAGAAATGAGATGCCCTGCACGAGGGCCGTGCTTTGGTGTATTTGCCAGTGATTTCTCAACATCTCAAATACCTGAGCGTCTTGTCCAGACTCCAGCTCACCCATTGGGAGTGAATGCGACGCTGTAAACGCGGTCCTCGTGTCCTCTCAGGCGCTCAATCAGCTGACCAAGTGTATCGTCCCAAACCCGTATGGTGTTGTTTAGCAAACCCGCCGCGAGGAAGGTCTCATCGGGTGACATTGCGACACTGCTCACGCTCGAGTCGACCGTTCCGGCGTCATGGTCTGCATATCCCAACTACGTATCGCACGATTGGATATATAAGCAAGTGCCATCGGAAGCGGAGTCAAGAGCGTAAATCTGCCAAGCGTGCCTGTCAAAGATGTTGCGGGTGTGCCGTTTGGCAATGTCTCAGATCTGTGTTTCAGGGAGTGGAATGGATTAATTAGAGAACCTGTTGAGATAAGGACACTCGATTGCCAGTACTTGCGGAGATACTTTCCATCTACGGGAACTTGAAACAGCTGACAAGGCTGTCTCCACGCGTCAGCGATATAAGAAGCATGAAAGGAGCCCATAAATTGTACCTTTCATGATGAAGCGTATGTACAGAGTTGCTGTCGACTGCGCGCGTTTAATGTTTGGATTGAAATAGAAAACCAGTGATTGCTGCATTTCTAAACGTCAAGTTCGTCCAAAAAGTTGCTCTTCTCGCCTGTATCGTTGCGATCTGCCAGTAAGGACATTGTTGCCAGTTACCATGTCACGGCCTGAGAATGACTGGGATGTCTTCCCCAGTCCTTGTCTTTTTTAATCACCATCCCAGATCGTGATGAAATCAACAATTGAGACAATGATCGCAACTGTGGAGACACTGTCGAAAATCTCATCTTTGAATGTGCGAGTCCTATGGGTTTGGGTCAGCCTTTCACCATCGTGATTTACTGGCCCCGACGAATTCCTATTGCCATTGTTATTACCACTACTCACATGTTGGCTAGACATTTTGAAAGTATGGAGGAACAGAGCAATGAAATTTAACATGGGTTCCCTGTGTTGTATGTCATCAAACGTAATTTTAGCTTCGGTCGTCCAGAGTCCGACCCATGCGTTCTCACGCGTGCCCTCTACGGTACCGGGGAAACGCGACCTCACATTGATCCCATGTGGGGTTCAATACCGCTCTGAATCGACAGACGTGCGCCCCGAAGAGGCGACAGAGAGGTTCTCCACATTCCAGTTTGAAACTCGAAACTATCACCAATAAAAAGAGAGCGCAGCCGTGTGAAATCTCACTTGTTTGACCATGGGTGGGTATGTAGAACGAAGGGTGAAATTCTCCACTGATCGTCTGCGAGTCTGTAGAATGATCTTGTAGGTGCCTTGTCGTAACAAAGGCGATATTTAAAAATACTAGTAGGGAAGAAGAACGAGCTAGAATATAAAGTGACATTGTGCAATAATTTTGGGGTGACAGAGCCATTGCAACAAGATGACGACACGTTGTATGTCTAGACAAACATGATCGATAGCTTATATACATTCGCGGCCCTTGTTACCCTACCCCTCTGGATCTTGCATCCTATCACCTATCACAAACAAGTATGGCTGAGAATTTAACAGGCAGAGGAAGCAAGAAAGGCCGATAAAATTGTGTTACGGCTGTACACGAAAAGTGGAGTAAAAAAATTGTTGTGCACAAACAAGGCAGTTACGCGGACAACCAAAACAAAACATATCATACGGTATTATAGCTCCCTGATACAATTCATTAGTAAGTCTCCTGTGAGTGTGTCAAAAGTTCAAAGTGACACGCACATATCCGGGCAGCCCAATCACCACTACCCGTAGCAAGTTGGCTTGCAGAGGGGCTCAGGTCAATAGAAATGACTAATTTATAGTTGGTGAGCCAGCTATAAAAAGATTACAGAAAACAAACCTGAATTCTTGTGACCCTGGAGCATAAATTGGACGATCGCCGAGCGAGAATCCCAAAACTGCACTCCACGGTCCTTCGAACCAGACACAACCCATTGGCCATCATGCGACACCGCGACACTGAGGACATAATCCTGATAACATTTTACGTCACTGACAGAATACTAGAAATCACCGTAGTCGTACCTTGTGTCCAAGGAAGTTCATTGTACATGCAGCCGAGGCTTTGTCACCTTCTTTCTTGACTACTGAGCTACTGCTCGGTCGGTCCACAGGAAGAAGCCCTGTCCGAGGGTCGCGCTTCGGTGCATTTGCCAGTAATTTCCCAACGTCCCAATACTTGAGCGTCTTGTCCAAGCTCCCACTCACGATACCATCCCCATCGGGAGTGAATGCGACGCTATAAACACTATCCTTGTGTCCCCTCAGGCGCTCAATCAGTTGACCAGTTGCCACGTCCCATATGCGAACAGTGTTGTCCAGTGAGCCCGCAGCAACGAGGCGACCATCGGGTGAGATCGCGACACTGGTCACACCCGAATCCGCAGTCTCGGTGTCACGGTCTGCGAGAAGTTTGTTACTTCCATCCTGCATATCCCAGATACGCGTCGTGCGATCTCCGGAACCGGATATGATCAAGCGACCATCGCGGGAAAAGTCGAGCGAGTAGATCTCCTGTGTATGCCCGTCAAAGACGTTGCGGATACGTCGTTTGGCGATGTCCCAGATCTACGTTTGAGAGCATGAAATACAATAGATCAACTAGAATAGAGGAGAGAACGTGACGAGATAACTCACTCGGATCTGCCGATCCTCGGCACCAGTGGCAAGGTATTTTCCGTCTGGACTGAAGCAGACGCTCCTGATATATAAATCACCATACTTGTTTGCCTTGTCGTCCACAAGCACGCTGTTCCGCAAAAAGCTGTGAGTCAGCGGGTACCATTGAGACAGAGTGCACACACCATGTCTTTGCTCCCGTCTTTGCATCAAAAATTTGGGCGGCGCGGTTGCAACCGGTGGCAAGATATTTTCCGTCTGCAGAGAACTTTACACAGCACACGACGCTGTTACCAAGCGAGCCGACGTCAGCGTCAATGGGGAGTACGAAAGAAAGCTGTTCATCATACCTTTCATGATGAAGCGTGTGCACAAGGTTGACATCCAGTACCGTTTGATCTTGGGATTAAAGATGGCAAACCAGTCACTACCTTCTCTTTTTAGTTCCGGAGGAACGCTTAACGGATCGAGATCATCCAAAAAACTGCTATTCTCGCTTATCGGGGCGAGCAGTCCCGTATTATCTGTCGCAGAACCAGAGGGAGGGCCTGGCTCATTGGCTACCACAGACGTCGGAGCGGTTCCAGGACCAGAGACACTGCCGGCACCAGTGAAAGGTGTTGTAGTGGAAGGGGGTGGAGGCAAGCCGGGACCACCGGTGAGAATGCTGTTTGGAGGATGAGATGGGCCTCCAGGGGGTCCTATGGAAGGACTGAAATGCTCTAAGAGTTACGATTACTACTGGAATATCACTAAATTATTACGACAATCACCCACCAGGCCGATCGCTCTTGATCTTGTCCGTTTTAATCCTCTTAGACTCGCGTTGATCTCGTTCCCTTTCACGTTCGCGTTCTCGCTCTCGCTCCTTGGCCTCACGTTCTCGCTCTCTATCGCGCTCCCTTTCTCTTTCGAGAATGCCTCTATCACGGTCCCGTTCACGTTCACGATCCCTGTCGCGGTCGCGGTCACGGTCGCGATCGAAAGCAGGATCGCGCGGAGGCCTTCCCATGAAAGGGTCTGAATATGGGAGGGCAGGTCCAGCGGTGGGTGTAGGGAGGCCGGAGGCGCCGGGCCCGACGTTCACACCAAGATTGGGAGGTACACCGGTTGGGGGCGGGCGGGCGGCCATGAGTTCTGCCCTGAGACGAGATATTTCCTCTTCATATTGTTGGCGTATTTTGCCGTGCTGGGCCTCGAGGTCATAGAGGCTTTGACGAATGATGTTAAGTTCATTGACTTGACTGGCGACTGGATCGATGGGTTATTTGAAAGGAAGTTTGAAATTGAGTGGAATGATTGGGAAGAACAAACCTTTAGTGTCAAACTCATCCCGCTGGTTACGAAGGTGAACGATGTCTTGTGTGAGGCCATCGAACTCGGATCTGATGATATCAAAACATTCGGAGAGACGATTATGGGATGGTTGTTGGGAGGGACCCTGCGTGGGAGGGACGGTTGGCTGGAGGCTCCTGTGCTGCTTAAAGGAAGGGAAGGATATTAGAAAATGATTATAGTGGATAGGAAGAGGGGGACTGACAGCATATATAGTAGAGGAGGACATTATTAGGGAGGGGAGGGAGGGTGAGAGAGAGGAAGAGAAGAGAGTTGCAAGGAAGAGCGCCCGAGAGTCGTTTCCCGGCGGGTTTAAGGCAAGGCCGAGTCCTCACCCCACTCGCCTCGCCCTCGCCCTCTTCCCTCACTGTGGGAAACTGGCCCATCTCTTACCGCCGGCTTCTCCTTTTTAAGTACTCTCTTAATTGATTGGTTATGACGTAATTCCCCTTGTCTCCCTTTGCCCACCATTCCGTCTTTTTCGCGGCTGGTTTACAAGACGCCTTCCATCTTTGTCGGGACA